CTGGTTTTTCTTCAGGTGTCCCCTCTCCAGTAGCTAGTGTGCTTTCTGGCTCTGTGACAGTCAACTTCACTACGCCTTTTCCTTCCAAGTGCAACTCATGAGATTGTCTCTGAAGAACTCGTTGCTTCACTAAATAAAACCAAAAATGAAAGATCACAGTGTGAGATATGAACATTTTATTAGAAATCAGAAAAGCGGACAGTAACATCCCCAATACTAATAGCAGAGTGTACAAGAGAGGTGAGCACTTCAGGCGCCTTTGCTCACCCAACCGCTTCTTGCGCCAAGCACTGGAAAACCACCCTCCCTCCCCGCTTCCCCGTGCTTGCTGAGGTGGGATTGAATATCCCCTGGGTCGTGGCTGTGCCCGTCTTCGCTGCTGCAAAAGTTATCCCTGTCCTAGCCGGACACAGGGCAGACATATTAGCTGTCCCACGAAATGAAAGAGCTTTCAACTCCAACACTAACACAGTACGCACAAGGCGTTTTGCCTGAAAGGAAGCGGAAGAACAGCAGAGGACATTATTTCCCCGAAGAAACACAAGAGGTGCAAAGCTCAGCTCTGTCACATGTTTCATGTTGGTAACCGCCCCCAACCCTTTTACATCCTCTTCCTGCCAGTGCCAAAATGGTTTGTGGCTCTATGTGATGAACTTACTGGCTCCTTGAGTCAGCAACTGGGAAGCATAAGGAAAGGAAAAAAGTATACATAATATAACTGTGTGTGTGTTTATGCACATACATGCATGTGTATGTACACATCTAATCCAACTGCAGCTAAATCCTTTCCACCTGGCTGCAAGTTTAGAGAAATACATGCATGTTATACCTGGGGTTTTTTTTATATATATCTGTAGCTACTACGTATATTGTTTGATTAACGTAACCTTTATTATCCCAAGAGCAATCTGGACAATACTACTGTGCATCAGGATTAGTATATATGTATATATAGCTCATAGGATATATTTATTAGCTTATAGCCTTTCTGCAAAACCTACAGGACAGTACTAAATAACCAAATC